GGAGCTTTTCTCAAAAAGTTGGTGACAAATTCACTTTTACAAAACGAGCAGGATATTAAGACAGGAACTATAGAACAAAATGGCGAAGCTGAATGGAATCTATGTGAATTTTATTATTGAAAAAAATTATGCTCTTCAGATTTAATGTTAGTTTTTATTGTTTAACGTATTGCAGTTTCGAATACCTGTAAAATAAACCTAATTCTTAAATTAATTTCATGTGTATTTCTTTTGCTAGTATTACAGTTCATAATACTTCAAACAACTTGAAATTTATACTTGTTAATTTAGTGGGATATGTCATAATTAATTTTATAATTTAAATAACTCATTGTCATCATATGAGTGTAATCTAAAATGCACAGCATTTGACAACAAATTCATAAAAAAATTAGCCAAACTTCTAATTGCTTTCTTTTTGTCAATTGCCTCCTTTTTAAATCATTTAATACCATAAAGCTATTGATGAAAAAATAATGTATGTCCACATCAACATATAGATTTATAATGATGTTATAGAAAAAGTCACATGAGATAAACATTTAAAAAATCCAATATTCCTAAAACAAATTAACTTTTTTAAAATTTCATGTGGGTATAAAATAAATAAAGAACATATTTAGGTAATCAAAATCGTAAAAACAACCTTGTATTAGCGTAGTATAATGAAAACTTAACGATTCGAGGCCAGCTAAAGTCCCTCCTCATCAGGAAAAGAAAAAAATAAAGGAGTCACAGAAACACATGTCCTTATCAGACTGCACGTGGTTATAACAGATTTTTAATCGAGTTGCACTGGCCGCTGACTTTTCCTGAGCCAGGCTATCTGATCAAGCTAAAAAGGACAAGAAAAAGTAGCGAAGTTAAATAGGAAGGAGGGCAATGAAGCTTGCCTCAAAATCTGAACTCAACTAATGGAAAGAAACCACTGACAGATTTTTACACCCTCGTACTACTAAACGCGAGGAGTAACGCCATCTACGGAAAAATAACGAATTAAGATAGTAGAATTTTAACAAGGCATTAGGAAGAATGGATTGGACTTCAAATCATTAACTAACCTGCTAATCTTTGTGAATGAGAAAGCCTCAGAAAATCCAACTCACCTATGGAAGAAGCCTTTTGGATAATTTTTGCAGACCCAAAATCAAATTATGGTAAAAGTCCAACTATGATACGCTATTGAGACTTGTTAATTTCGCCTTTTCTGAAATAAGATTCTGTTTTTGATACGAAACTTCAACGCTCTTTTGTTTTTAGCCAATAATCTTTAAACCACACTGACAGATATACTATAAATTCCCCAAGATTAAGACAGAAATGCAATTTTTAAAATCGAAGGGTGGAATTTATTAATAGGGAAAAAAGAAAACTAAATTGATTTCTGGAGAATCCGTGAATTTTATAGCGAACAGAGGATAAAATGGAAGCACGACAAGTCATTAATATTATTTCTAACAGTGGAAGTCTTCTTTGATGGGAATTTGAAAATTTTTAACGGCTTTTATCAATAATCATGGAGAAAATCCGGTCAATCGCAACTGCCTCAAATATTAAGTCATTGGTAAGCAAATTCAGAGGAACAACTTAAGCGCGGGAATACATAAGTAAAAAGCCATTTTTTGCTTAACAGGTTGGCATGACTTGGGCGAGGTGGTAAACAAACTGCAAAGGGTTTACGGTACACAGTGGTGCTAAAATCAGTTCATGCAGATTATAAGAATATCGAGGACGGGAGGGAATTGTTGTATTCATTTCAAGAGTGAATGGGAGGCTGGCTCAATTGAATTCATAATAGAATAGAATCTCGGATAAATCCTCTTTATAAGTCAAAATGTGTGAAGTGTCGTCAACAATACCGAATCCAGAGAAAAGATAGTTTATCAATAATTTCGTCTCAAAATAGTGCATAAAATGTCACAGTACAGAATGAAAGGATTACCCATAGCCAAACCTTCAAATTGATGAAATATGCATTTTGGAAAACAAGTGGGTTTGATTTGCTCAGAGAAAATTAGTAAGCGAACCACTCATTAATTTCAGTATGTGTGAAGTGAATTCCCAAAGCCTAGTTTCAACAATTAGGCTCCTTCGACCGGAACATTAGAACCGAATTTACATCACATGAAACCAATGGAACGAGTGGAGAAATTTTTAGTTTATCAATGACTTCAAAGAATTTTACAGTGTGAATATTGTTAGCAAGTAGAGGAGAAAATTGGAAACTAATATTGTCCAAAGGATATGAAGATTACCTATGTTGGAAACCAATTGTCGAAAGAATACGTTTTCGCGGACTTTTGGAAAAGGATAAAGTCTAGCACATATAATAGGTGGAATAAGTGATTCTTCAACTGAGTGCAGAATGTGGGAAGATTTAATAGCACTTTTACTTTAGTGGGTCCGAATTGAAGGATCTTTAGGATCGAGCAGTATGGACTTCATTTATAGTTTAGAGACTCAGTATATATGTGTGTTTGTCCATAACAACGATTGTCCACCCTTATCAGCTTAGAGATAATGATATTAGATCCGAATGAATTTCACGTAAGATCTCATTTTCCTTTATGCTTTCCGAGGGGAGGGACCTTTAGCTGCCCTCGAAATCGATTGAGTGTTTCATTATACCTACGCTAATACAAGGTTGTTTACGATTTTATTGTCACATTAGCATGTTCTTCTTGTCTATATTAGGTAATTTTGAATTTGCCTAATTTTAATGAACTTATTATGAAATAAACAGTGCATTGTAGGGAACTTTTTAAAAATGCCTCGATAAAGCATTTCTTTGTAGGGTGAACTTTTAGTACTGATCTAACATATTTATAAGATTTTAAGCTCAAAAGGATAACAATATAGATTACAATACATTGCAAGATTGATAAATGTAAAATTTTTACATATTATAATTATGTTTGTAATTAAAGCAGAAGTTACATACTCGATTAAGTTACATGCAAATTAATAATATTTTCTTTAACATTTTTTTGATAAACTTAATTTTAACAAATGAATATATATATTTGTGTAATTATCTGAAGATATGAATGCAATATTTGTGACATTAAACATTCACCTTCAAGGAAAATAAGCAAAAAATCAACTTGGAAGTAACTATTGGAAAAGGTAAATTTTCTACAATATCCCTCCTGGTCTATAACAATTTTAAAATTTAGCATACTCATTAAAATCATCTAAATGTATGATGTTTTCTTTTGCACTACAGTCGTTACTGAATTCGGTAATTAACTATATTGTACTTTAGATAGAAATTAACGTAGATATTCCCCATATTTTACAGTACAAAAACGTATATATTTGATAGTAATTGACCTAAATCTTCCATATGTTTTCTTTGCATATGCAAATGATTTTGGTAAAAATTTAGTCCGATGTCTGCTCCTCTTTACTGTGTATAAATGCAAATTTTTGGTAAAAAATTTGCATAAATCTCCAATTACCATTTACTGCATTTTTTGTAAAATGTACTTATCTTAATGTCATATTTTTTATATAACTCCATGTAAAAATTCTCTGCATGTTATGATTAAAAGATAAAATGTCATTTTTACATCAAATTTTTACATAAGGTATGTACAGCAATATGGAATATATATAACTGGGAAATTAAAATAAAAAAAAAAATAAAAAAAATTCTATTCAAAAATTACGTAACACTTAAAGGCTGAAAATCACTTTTAATATTTCATTTCAAAGTGACTACAAAATATGCAATAAATTTCATAAACCTGAATTCTAAGTTTTAATCAATTAATGCTATCGTTCATTTACACTTTTTTTTTTTTTTTTTGTTTACTAAATTCATTTCATATATTTAAATTTAGTAAACAACTGTAGCAAACAATTCTAAATTTATTTTTGCTAAATAACACTTTAAATTATTTGCTTTTCCAAAGAACATTTTCTTATGCCATGTAAATGAACGATAGCATTAATTGATTTAAAACATAGACTTCATGGTTACGAAATTTATTGCATATTTTAGTCACTGTAAAATGAAATATTAAAAATGATTTTCAGCCTTTAAGTGTTATGTAATTTTTGAATAGAAATTTATTTTTTTGCATTTATTAGTGTATTTTAATTTTCTAGTTATATATATTCCATATTGCTGTACATACCTAAAAGGCAGATATGTAAAAATTTGATATAAAAATGTCATTTTACCTTTTAATCATAACATGCAAAAAGTATTTGCATACATTTATATAAAAAATATGAGATTAAAATAAGTACATTTTACAAAAATGCAGTAAAAAAGTAATTGGAGATTTATGCAAATTTTTTTACCAAAAATGTGCATTTATACACAGTAAAGAGGAGAAGACATTGGAATAAATTTTTACCAAAGTCATTCCATATGCAAAGAAAGCATAGGGAAGATTTAGGTCAAATACCATCAAATATATACGTTTCTGTACCGTAAAGTACGGGGAATATCTACGTTAATTTCTATCAAATATATACGTTTTTGTACCATAAAATACGGGAAATATCTACCTTAATTTCTATCTAATATACACGTTTCTATACAGTAAAAAATCGGGGAGATTTATGTAAATTTTTACTAAATATATACGCATACGTGAAGCAAAAAATTACATAAATCCCTGAAAATTACGTATATTATATGTAAAAGTTATGAATGAACAGCAGTCTCATGAAAATATACCTAAATTTTACGTAAAACTTGCATATTGTATAACGTAAAAATATACATAAATATATAGTATTTGCCAATGGACACTTTTTATGATATTTTTACGTTCAACTTGAATGTTTTTTATACGAAGGGCCATTCGTAAATTGCACGTATTTTTCTCGTGCAATTTACGAATGCATGCTGCCTGGGATGCATATGAACAGCGAATTTAAACATTACTGACATTTTTGTAATGGTGAGCTTTGAAAAACATGTTCATCCTTAACTTTTGGAGGGCAGTGTACATCAGTATATATTAAAACGATTTATGACTTACTTTAGCTAGTATATTACAAATATTGTAATAACGCTCTTTGATATCCTCAATACTTCGAGTCGGGAAACGAGATCTTTCCCATCTATCATGTATTACAATGAAACGCAGATCAAATCTTTGACACAAATCAAAAAGATGGTCCGTTTCCTGACGTGTCCAACCATCACATTGCAGATGTTGGATGTACTCATCATCAGTATATTCAGGGATTGGGACAGTCTAATCATAAAACAATTAAGTAAAATAAATATATACTGCATAATAAATAAAACATATGATCAGATAGTAAAATATGATAAATGAAGTATTACACTCTCATAAAATTTACAACAAAATACAAAAACACATGTATATTGACTATGCTTTTATTTTCTTTAAAATAAAACATGGTCTTAAAAACACAAAGTTTACAACACATAACAGTAAACAGAAGCTTGACTATATCATATTAAAAGAGCAGAATTACCAGTTTATTCAAAACATTAATTAAGTTACATAAATTTTAAACATGTGAAGAAGTTTATTTACCAGAAATCTCACTGAAACAACAAAAATCATATTAAAACAGTAACATATTTGGCAAATTAACTCTTAACAATTGTAAAATCACAGCTAGTGTAATTTCACGGGTCCAGTTGGTAATTAACACGACAGATAAAGAACTGTATTTACTAATTCTAACCCTCTCAGCATTATGGATATATAATCTCTTATGGAAGGGTAGCTTTCTTACTCATTACACATGAAAATTTCTGCCAGTTTAATGTGTCCCATCTCTGGTTGGATATATTGGAAGAAAGAAATCAAGGTATAAAGTGAGAGAGTCGTTTCTTAATTATAATCAAGAAAATAACATATGTTCATGACATTTTAGAGAACTTTAAAATTTCAGGGCTAAACCCATAATGTTCGGAGGGTTAAATCACTTAGTTTGTTAATCAATAACAGGCAGATTAAATTTTAAAAATTAATTACCTTAACCTTTTGCTATACAATTTGTTTATAAAAATAATACACAGAGTTCATTTGGTAACAACAACCTTTTATTTCTTTTGCTATGTATCTATATCTATATATTATACTATATTTATTACATTATTTCTTTAAAAATAATGTATGATAACAACATCTACTAGCAACACTGAAAAGTAATATGGTCAAAAAAGTGAGGTTTGAGACTAATACCACTTCTGGTACTAACAAAGTTAATACAGAAATTTACAAGCAAAAATAAATGTAATTATTGCAATATACACCTATTTCTAGTTGCAACTGACAGAATTCTACCAATGTAAATCTTAATATCAAAAGAAAACAAACCAAATAACTATAAAAAAAAAAAAAAAAAAAAAAAAAAAAAAAAAAAAAAAAAAAAAAAAAGGGAAAGTGTAAACCTTTGAACTAGCATCTGCTATTTCTTTTCATGACATAACATGACATTTTGTTCCCGAGCCATTTTGTGCTTGCTAGTAATACAACACAATTTCATTTTGTGCTTTTTCAAACTATGTTTCAGAGTACCTTTATCTTAAAAGAATTTGCCTGTTAACTCTTTGTCATCTGCAACTGTCAAATTGCATAATCTTCTTCAATTAATTTCTTTGTATCGATTCTTTAACCCTTTCGTGGGCCATGAGAAGGTTACTTCCGACCTACATGTTCCTGGGAAATACACCTGTGGGAAGGGCAAAACCCACTATAATATATTGTCTTTGCTATTATAACGTTGGGAACTCTAATTCCCACTTCAGTATTGTGCTGCCATCTGTGTTCAATCGATTGGAAAACAGAATTACCACATTTATTTTGAAAGTTCGAATGTGTTGTGTGAGATCTGTTCCACTGAGACACCTGTTTTGATTTGACATTTGCATTGCTATACGATTCTGCTACAAATGTAAGTAAAACATTGTTTTTATTATAATAACGTTTTTTTATTTTGTATATTTCTGCAGTAACTATCTAATATTGAATAATAAATAATGGGTAAAAAGTGAAAATGCTATTGCATCATGTATAAAAGCCACATGCAATAGGTATGTTGAAAAAATTAGAATATTTTTGAAAATACATTTGAAAATATCATTCAATTCTACTGAGAAAAAGAAGGATTGTTTTGGCATGATTTTTACCGAGGAAATTTTACAGAATATTGAATAATATTGAATATATAATTTTACAGAATTGAATATATAATTTTACAGAATATTACAGAATATTGACGAAGCTCATATGCAAAGCAGCCTAATAAAAGGAAGAGATTGGGTCATAACCACAAAAGACATTATCCTGAACTGTAAAGGAAATCACATAAGAAGAAATTGAAAGCATGGGTAGGTATGCATATACTCATGGGTATAACATCAATTGCCTGAACTGAAAAACTTACTGCTAGAGCACAGACCCTATTCTTCAATGTTCAATCAGTAGCAAGAATAATAATCGCAAAGAGGTTCAAAAAATAACTGAGACTTTACATGTAAACGATAACAGCACAAATCCATGTGGGCAATTTGCGGCGTATGATAAACTCCATAAAGTCAGGCATCCTCTCACCAGCTCGAATGATTCCATACCTAAAGTCTACGAACTATCGTTCGTCAACATTATGAATAGATGAATGTACGATAGCTTTCAAAGGGAGAACTTCATTGAAGCAGTATATGCCAATGAAGCCTATAAAAAGAGGTTACAAGGTGTGGTGTTCAGCACACTCTAAGACTGGATATATTCAAAAATTTGAAATTTAATTGTGGAAAAGAAGCTTCTGATAAAATAAGGATAAAATATTCAGCTTTAAGGGGAAACAGTAGTAACTAAACTAACGGAAGATGTGAAAACAGACAGGTCATCTTATAGCCTATGATAACTATTTCACATCCTTTAGGCTTGCAAAAAAAGTCTACTTGTAAGTGGTCTATTTTCTATGGGGACTGTGAGGTCACAAAAGAAGGATCTAATCAACCAATGCTACAAAGCGAATGCCAAATTCCAAATCAGTACCTAACCTAAGGAAGGTGGTATTGCTGCAATAAAGTGGATGGACAAAAAGGCAGTTACTTTGTTGACTACTGCACATAAACCAGTGATTATTACATCTGTAAATCGGTCACAAAAAGGATGGTACTAAAATAGAAGTACCTTGCCCTAAAAGCTGTTGCTGTATATAACGATATCATGGGAGGGGTTGATCGATTTGATCAAAGAAAAGAAAGATACTGCAAATAGGAAGAAGATCTGTAGAAATGACTGGCAACATATTTTTTATTTTCTTATTGATCCTTAGTATCGTAAATAGTTTTAATACTGTGGCAAGGAAAACAAAAGAAACAGAAATTTAGACCAGCCTAACATTCTGTATAGCATTAGTTCGTCAGCTCAACTAATAGACGATATTCCTCAAGAGAAAAAGAAAGGCCGTGTCCTGCTAGCTTCCAAGCAAAAAGGTGTATCAGTTCCAGATGATGTACGCTTAGTCAGTGTGGGAAATCATATGCCAAAGATGGTTTCCAACTATAAACGATGTAAGAAATGTAGCACAAAGGCACAAGAAAAGAGGACCCGCTATATGTGTGCAGTATCTGAAGTACACTTGTGCATTGCAACATGTTTCTAATCTTTCCACGGCAAATAACATTTAAATTGAATTTTCTCTATGACCATAAATGGTCCCGTGGGAAGTATACTTCCCACCCCTATAATTTAAATGTAAACAAAAAATTTCGCAAAATAAAATATATTTTCTTAAATGCTATTGTTTAATTGATAATAAAACATAAAAAAACAAGAGAAATTCAAAAGAGAAATAAATGGCCCACGAAAGGGTTAACTCTCTCCTTCTTTTTAAAAACCATTTCAACAAAAATATGACTAAAAATGTCAAAAATTCAACTGATGTTCATTTTCCCATCTATCCGTTATGACTTTAATGCATAGCTGTTCATGGTAACTACACTGGGAACTTTGATGCACAGTTACAACTGGTGGCACCATTAAAGTATTAAGGGGGGGGACCCTTTTCCCATCTGGAAAATTTAGACTGCACTTTAATATTTCAAATGAGATTTTAATACAGTCAAAAGTCATTAATTCAGAATGATCTATAATCTGGACCTCAAAGCTAAAAACTTTCTGCGCATGCGCCGCGTTGACACATGCGTACAGGTGTTTACGCGTGCGCGTAAGACCTTTTACGACTGCGCACATGAGTGTGCGCAAGCAAAGAATACGTTTTCGCGTGTGCGTTTTATGTATAACGGACGGTATAAGCTAAAATTATGTAATTATCGATTTCAGTTAATGTTGATGATTGCATTGTTCCTTAATTTTCGAATTGGATCCAACTTATTATTTTTTGAAGACTATAAGAGCAATACTATAAAAGTAAACTTGAACTTTCGATTATGTCAAACAGAATTTCCGATTCTGGAGCTCCCAAAGGATCGTACAAAACGAAAGTATGTTTCGATGTTCATCAAACAAAAAGTGGAATTGCTGCAAAAAATGGATAAAGACATGAAGAATGTGACAGAGAGGTTAGTGAAAATGAAAAAATTTCGATTGCCAAGTTAGGCGGTATTCTCGGCACAGCAATTAACGGGACTTGAACAGCGGAACTTTGTAACTGAACAAGAAATTATGTCTGTTTATAGAATTCAAGAGAAAGTATTATCACAAAAAACGAAGCAACTTACATTGAAAGAAATGTTTAATAAAGTAAACAAATAAATATTAAGTTTTTTTTTTTTTTTTTTTTTTTTTTTTTTTGTAAATTTTGATACCCTTTAGATCATAATTGTTCTTTTTAATTTTAGAATTTCTGCATGCCATCTTACGAGATTTAAACTGATGATCTATAATCCAGAAAAATCGATAATCCGGAATCGCCAATGTCCCGACGAGTCCGGATTAACGACTTTTGACTGTACTAAAATATTTAAAAAGTATAAAAGCCATATAAATATTTTCTTTTTCTTTGATAAAAATAGTATCTATTGTTTCAAGAACTCTAGCATTTGTTTTTGAATGTAATATGCAGGAAACTACCAAAATGTTCAAAATCTATATTACAGTTTGAAAAAAAATATCTATGTATCTATATATATTGAAGACAGAAATTTATATATTACAACAAAAAATTCATCATTACACACTAAATTTTATTTTTAGCATAAGCAATGGTGTACATAAAAATCAGAGTTATACATTTTGCAACTGGTAAGTTACGTTTTCAAATATTGGGTAGAAATATGCACATCAGTTATAGTACAATACAAAGTCCGGGATCCGACGAGATCCGGACTCGTCGGATCCCGGATTTTTCCAGATGTTAGATCATCAGTTTTAATCTAATAAGCTGGCATGTAGAAATTATAAAATTAAAAATACGAAAAAATGATTTAAGAAATAATGAAGAATTTATGATCAAAAGGATATCAAAATTTACACACACACACACACAAAAAGGAAGCTTAATACTTATATGTTTGCTTTATTAAACAATTCTTTCAATGTAAGTTGTTCAAGTTGCTTTGTTTTTTGTGCTAATACATTCTCATTAATTTTATAGACAGATATAATTTCTTGTTCAGTTACTAAGTTCTATTGTTCAAGTCGTAATTGCTGCATTGAGAATTCCGACTAAAGCGTCAATCGGAATTTTTTTCCTTTTCAATAACTTCTCTGTCACTTTCTTCACTATCGCTAGCAGTATTTTCTGGATCTAGAGCCATACTACTGATTTCGCCATCTGTTAATTGATTGGCAATTGGGGCACTGTCATTGCAATTGAAAACTTCTGTAACTCTTCTTTCCTAAATTCTTCCACCCGGTGTAGCCATGCGAGCTCTAGTGCCGGTTCTGGCTTTATGTGACTAACAAATCAGTTATTCTTAATTCAAATAGCACTAAATGTAATCCTTTGGCCCATGAGTCTCATTAAAAAAATCTATTTTTTGCATGTGGAAGGAAATTTTTGTTAATCTTTTGTCATCAGCATGTCTTAGTGCATTTAATTTAGCTCTTTGAAGGGCAGTGGTTACCTACAGTAGCCACCTTTTCTATTGAATGTTTTACGCACTTGTGTGAGTGGTTTTTAAGACTGACCATTTCTGAAGTTCCCTTGTAGCTCACTAGATAGCAATCAAGAAACATATGCCACTAGTTCATGCAGCAATTTGTCTTCAAGAAAATAAGCATCAGCCATCAAAGACAACATCACGATGATTGCACTCTGCATGAAAAAGAAAAACTGTTTCCATGAGTACCATAGAGACTGATTTGTGGGGTGGTGGTTATCGACACTAACCACGAGAATCGGTTATTTTTTTTCACGCATCTTGGACAAAATATGTGTAATTGTCACAAATAACTTCATTGCAACACCTGATATAGTAAATAAATGAAGAGTTTTACTGCCCTCAAAGAGTTAAATCTGTAATTGTTGGCAAGCAAAAATTGTTTAGGCATCGCTGCATGAGTCATTATTCAAGTTGTCATGTGTTGATAAATATGCAGTGATGAAAGCAAAATATAATAAATAATGATTCACTAGGTTGGCATCAAGGATATAAAATAGTAAAGAAGTTGGTGTAAAATCAACACTGTTTCTACATAGAATGTTTCAGTTTGAGATGGCGAGCAGATACGCAGCTACAAAGTCAAATTATTGATTACAGAAATTTATGCTAAAATGATTATTTCAATAATGAGGTATTTTATTTAAAGCTGAAGTGAGATTAAGAATCGGGACTCTCCACATTTTATTATGGCGGGAATGAAATGCGCATGTGTAAAGCATAACCCCCTAAAGAAATTGGTTGGCGGTGGCTTTGAGGTCCGGATTTTAGATCATTCTGGATATTGGGCATCTAGATCTCAGACTTTGTACTGTAGCAGCAAAGTGACTGTACAAAAGCTTAAAATTCCAACTGTAGCAGAGAAGTTCAGATTCACAGCAAGCAGAATAGATAGGCTCCTATAGTGCCAATTAACTTAATTAAAATTTTAAGGCCTTGAAGTTAGATAATTACAAGTTTTGAAGAATAAAAGTTATAGAATAAGTAAGACCGAAGTCCAAAACTTAGCATACATTGTGTTAGAAACATGTTTTGATAACTAACAGTATGACGCTCGTAAAATGCAATTAAGATGCACATATTGTTTGAAGCAACTTACCTCAAAAAAGATGAATACAAATGAAAAAATTCAGGACTGCTCGTTTGAAATTGTAGATAAACTTGCAGAAATAGTATCTGAAATTTCAGAAGAATTCCTAAATAGTCTATGCACCTTAACCAAAGAATTTGAGCTTTAGAATTGCGAAAGAACTCTGTGATAAGATGCACGACTTAAATACACTAAAAGTTACTAGATGAATTTAAAAGTTGCCAATTTAAAATGCAAGAAAACAACCAAGCGCAGGATGCGTTAGTTACTAAATACCACAGTAATGCAAAAAGAAGTCTAAGAATGTGTAAGACTTTAGGTGCTATAACTGTAAGAGAAAAGGACACAAAGTGTCAGAATGCAGAAAAATTAAAAGCAAAAATTTCAATCAGGAATACTTAACATTGTATTTTCCTTCAGCACTGTCAGAATTCTGAACACATAACTGTTATTTTGATTCAGGATCAACCACACACAGAATGCATGTGCATTGACAGGAGTAAATTCACATTAATAACTTTAACAAAAAGTGAAATTCAATCGCAAATAATGAATTTGTAAGTCAAATGGAAAGGGAGAGTTGGAAGTAATGCAAAAATTAATTCAACTTCATAGCACATAATACTTAATGGATACATTATATGTCACATAACTTAGGGATGCTACTAAAATGTTCTATCTACTTTAAAAAGCTCTTTACATATATATTTCATGGATAGCATAGAACAGTTATTGTAGTGAAGTATAGTCCATGTGACGTGAGGAACCTATAACCAAGGGTCTGTTAACTAACCCGCTGCCAAAGAATGCTCTTGAACTCTCGACAAGAGTTGAGAGTTCAAGAGCATTCTGGCATATTATTCAGTTGGAAAAAATCTACAGACTGAATTAGCCATGCCTCCTTAATTTTTTAGTCGCATTTTACATCCTCTGATTTGTTATATCTGGAATGATATCACAGGAGAAACAAGATCATTGGTTCGTCAGTGCTCCTGAAATCGAGAGGCTTTGATGACACACACAGTGCAGAATGCTAAAATCTCTTGACATTAGTTGTGAAATTATGACTCTTGCTCTGTCAACTGGAATGAATTATTGTTCAGTCAATTGTTTTCACTCATAAAACAAACTATAAGTTGCATTTTAATGCATGTTTTACATGCTAGGCCATTTTATGAGATAGATACAGTTTTCAGGACACTTCAAGCAAGAAAAAAAATCATTTTATATGCAGATTGGCAGTAATTTAAGTTGGTGGTCATTGGGACCATACTACAGTGAACTGCTATAATCAAAATAAAGCATAACATTATTTTGATTACAGCAGTTGAAGTTTAATGTTATACTATAGCTAAAAACAAAAGTCTTTTTCAATTAATTTCTTTGTTACTGATGAATGATTCATTATTATTATTATTTAGTTCTTAACCTTCCAGCAAGAGCACTTGCCAATTTTACATGAACACTTGCTTGTCATATTTTTTTACATCTGTTATTTTACTGTTTTTGGCATGAAAAACAAGAGAAATGAGTGAATGTTGATAATAAATTTGCTAAGAAATAAAATATTAACCTTATTATTACAAAATACAAATGATGTTGCATTCAGATGAAAGTAAATTATTTTTAAATGCTTATATTAGTCAGGTGGACAGGCAACGTAGCATTACTTACTTCTACAAGGAAATTTACTTTTTACTGGTTACAAAAACCCATTTTAAATTAACTTTAAAAAAAAAAAAAAAAATAATAATAATAATAATAATTTTATTTATTTCTAAAACATAGAAATAAAAGAAAATAAAGAATAATAATAATAGAAATAGAGTAGAATAATAAGAAGAAAACAGAATTCTGAAGATATTTTTCAATGCTCGAAGTTTACATTGCGTTCCATGCAAATAATTTCGGTAATAAAATGACATTTTGCATGTGCATGTGAAGCATGTCTTGCATTTCATAGAAGCTGATGATGTCATTTTTTCTCTATCACTCAAACCGGATGTTCCACATGAGGATTGCTCTGGCACTTTGTCATTAGGAGCAGCATAATTATGACTTATGTTGAAATGTCGGGAGGTAATGTTTGGATTTTTTTGCACGAATTACGATGCTCTTTCAGAAGACTAATAGATAAATTAGAAGATTTATTCTTATAAACATTTCACCCATGACGTGTTGTAACTTTTACGAGGAAGTTGCCCCGTAGCACAAAAGGCCAGTTAAAAAAAAAGCCATATAGCTTTCTGTTGGCACACTCTGTGATGTGGGAAAGGGTTGAAAAGAGGAATAAAAATTACCTTCAGATGTCCCAGCTGCGATATGCGAAAAATGTGCATTAAAAAACGAATATGTCATAAACTTTGCGCATGACATGCATGCTGGAAGTTTAAGCCCAATGCCTTAGACCAGGGATTCCTAACCTTTTTGTCCCCAAGAGCACTGTCACCAAGGATGCAATTTCTACTTCATTAAAAATGAAGAAAACTTTCACACAGAATTTTATTGAAAATGAAAACATTTTTATTATGATCACACAGCATTGGGCACATGTTAAAGGATCGGCAGGTACTATGGTGCCCATGAGCATAGGGTTGGGAACCCCTGCCTTAGACAGACAGCTTTTGAGATTTTGCCTTAATCACATAAACTAAGCCAAACCTTAATCAGGAAAAAAAAAAAAAGTACATGGGAAAATACAAATTTCAGTTTCTTTCATTGAAATCAATGCTTGCATCTACACAGCCTTCAAAATAATTTCCACATCTAGCTAAAAAAGATTTAAGAATTCAGCCTCAACATCAAGTACTCAAAATGACACAGAATGAAAACAAACCTTGTTGAATTTCGCAAATGGATACTCTTCCCCTTCATCTTCAATACGCCTCCAATGATAGAATACTGCAGCATCCTATAAAATAAAAATTTCACAGTTAAAAATTCTGAACAAATAAATTGACACAATATATAACACTCATAGCACATTAAAATTAAAACCAAGCTTAATATCAAACAGAAAGATAAAACACAAAATATATTTTATATTACTGAAATTTCATGCACATACCAAAGAAGAAAATCTTAATTTTTTTTAGGCATATTGGCTGCAAGTAGTTATAAAGAAAAAACCGTAAACGGTAGGCTATGAACTGCATGAAATTTAATTGATGACCCCTTTTCTTGACTAATCAGAAGCCCCCTTGCTTAGTGCCAACTGCCCTACAATGAACAGCAGCCAGTTTCCATATTCCACCTTGTATATCATGGGTGAACAGAACAAAAGTAGCCCACAAACTGCACGACTTTTCTTGTCCCGCCTATCTAAGAACTTCGATTCCCAAGAAGATGAATGCTAGAAAAAGTCATTTATCCCATAAATGAGACATTTTATTGAGGCTAGAAGCCTCTATTTTATTTTATCGGATATTGTAGAAACTGTGCATACAAAACAAATATCAAATTAAACTGGCATGTGCTAAAGTAAAAATGAATTTCTTTTCCACCCATTTTATAGTTTTATAATGCTTAAAAGAATAATGAGCTAGATCTTGTATATATTCTCTACAGAAATTCAAAAATTTCCAATAGGTTTTAGCTCGATATATATATATAAATTTAATATAATAATAAATATATATAAATTTTTAATAATAAAACTCATCAAATATCAGATTTGTAGTGCACCTTAAATTATTTTTCTTGTCTAGATAAATATTAATAAGTCTTCTTAGACAGTAGAGTTGTTTTAAATTTCAAATTTACCATTTTCGGTAAATAGTTCTAAATTAATTTTAAAAATTCTCTTTATTAAATCTAAAAATGAGGTTTCTTAAGCGGTTCTAAATTCATACCAATGTTCTTGTAATATATGTCTTATTAAGCTTTCCATTTTTAATCACTGAATTTCTTAAAAATTCCACATTTTAATATTAGAAATGTTTAAATATTTATTCTGTTTTCCAATCATTCTATTCTATGCACTTTTACATACACTTAATTTCTAATACACATTTAATTAATAATAATTGATAATTATGAGCATCTGCAGGATTTTCATAATTAATAGAATTAATTCGAATTCCATTATACAATCAAAAGTCGTTAATCCGGACTCGTCGGGACTTCGGCGATTCCGGATTATCGATTTTTCGGAATTATAGATCATCAGTTTAAATCTCGTAAGATGGCATGCAGAAATTGAAATTCTAAAATTAAAAATATGAAACCGTAATTTATGAAATAAAGAACAATTATGATCTAAAGGGTATTAAAATTTACAAAAAAAAAAAAAAAAAAGCTTAATATTTATTTGTTTACTTTATTAAACATTTCTTTCAATGTAAGTTGTTTAAGTTGCTTCATTTTATGTGATAATACTTTCTCTTTAATTCTATAAAAAGACATAATTTCTTGTTCAGTTACAAAGTTCCGCCGTTCAAGTCCCGTTAATTGCTGTGCCGAGAATACCGACTAACTTGTCAATCGAAATTTTTTGTTTTCACTAACCTCTCTGTCACATTCTTCATGTCTTTATCCATTTTTTGCAGCAATTCCACTTTTTGTTTGTTGGACATCGAAACATACTTTCGCTTTGTAGATCCTTTGGAAGTTCCAGCATCGGAAATTCTATTTGACATAATCGAAAGTTCAAGTTTACTTTTATAAAATTGCTCTTACAGTCTGCAAAAAATAATAAGCGGGATCCAATTCGAAGATTAAGGAACAACGCAATCATTAACATTAACTGAAATAGATAATTAGATAATTTTAGCTTACACCGTCCGTTATACATTAAACGCGCAGGCAAAAACGTATTTTGCACTTGCCCACGCATATGCGCAGTAGTCAAGGTCTTACGCGCACGCGTGAAACGCCTATGCGCATGTGCCGACGCGGCGCATGCGCAGAAAGTTTTTAGCTTTAAGGTCCGGATTATGGGTGTCCGAATTAACGACTTTTGACTGTATTCATATCTTGGGATTTTTAATTTCCTCTTAATCTGTTTATTTTCCATACATTATTTTGCACTGTATTCAAGTTTTTATGTATATAGAATTTGTTTATTGTTGTACTGCATTTATGCCAATATATATTTAAATGATAATTTTTCATAAACACTATAGTACAGTTCATCTCAACTATAGTACAGAAGATGTTTCTAACAGCTTAGTACAGATTAATGTTCAGCATGCAGTTTATTTTTCAATCTAAGTTCAGGTTTAATTATTTGTAAAATTAATTATTACAAATAATTTGCAAAGAAAGATGGTTGCTAAATCCCGCTAATAATATTTCTAACTGTTGTAATTTATAATACAGTGAATTCATGTGATTTATAATATACCTCGTTTATAAATTTTTAAAAAATTTCAAAAGTACTGGAATTAACAGCAGATACTCATAAGCCCTGTTCACAAAAGCAGATTCAACCGGTAGCGAAAACTAGTTCTTCCAACGTATCCCATTCACATGGGACAAGCATTAACTGCCTCGCCGAATTTGAAGTAGAACTTGGTTGAATGTTCCTTACCTCTCAGGAGCAGGGCAAATGGAGAGATTTCCCATACTATACTGCGTGGTTCACTTAATTTTAGTTACAGCTTGCTGGACTGTCAGCAAAACAATCGTGCTGATAGATGTCTGGGGATGTGATAGCATCCCCCCTAAAAATTAGATAGAACTGTACAAGATACGGAAATTATAGACAAATACAGGCAAGGTTATATGATGCTAGGTATTCCAGAAATATTGTTCAAATTAAAACTGAAGTTAAGACAAGTGCACATCGGCTTCAACGCGACAAGGGACTTGGTACCTTTTGAATGATTTTTTTTAAAAAAAATTTAAGCATTTTCATCTACTTTCTATGAATATTATTAAATGGTTTTGTGAGACAAAATAATTTTAAGCTGGAAAAAAGTTTTTGATAGTAATTTTTTTAAATTTAAATTTTTGAAGAAAAATTTTACAATTAAAATGTCTTTTTTCTCCTACAATTTTCAATTTCTCCCCCCAATTTTTTTATTGTATTTATTAGAGTGTTCTTAATAACTTCCAGGAATGATTTTGCAATTAATGAATTAGTTTTTGAGTAAAAAATAAAAATACACTTTTATTTAAAATCTTTAAAACAAATATGATCTCAGTCACATTTTCATTTCAAATAATTTTTCCTTTCAGTATTTTGCAAAACCCATCCTTGTTTCCATAAAGTATATAATTTTAAATAAGCAGTAAAAATAATAAATAATTTAGTCCATACCTCTATATGTTTCAGGACTTTAAGTAAAAGGATTTATTGAAAAAAATGCAAAAGGTTTCTCAGTTTGCATTTGCAGTTTAAAGAATACAAACTGTCTAAATAGACATTTAATCATTTCAAATTTTTAAAATTTTATTACTGAATTTCAGTACAACATATATATATAAATCAAACCTAGTGCTATTTATTCAATTGGTAAATAAATATGAACATAAATTACAAACCTTTTTTTAAAACCTTATGTGGCCAGAAACATTGCAAAAACTCATAAAACGCAAGCAGAATTTTTCATTACCTGTTTTTGTTTTGTAAAACGCGTTCAAAACAATTTTAATACATTAATTAATTATAATATTGTTGTGCGCATACGGGTTTGTAATAGATTGATAACAGTTCATAAATGATTGTCATTGCACTCAAATCCGATGATAGCTTAATTAAATTTATTTTATCAACAGAAACACATCAAAGTTCTGGAATTTTCCACAGAAATACTCGTACAAGTGTTTAGAATATCACTATGTATAATCAGTAGTTATGCTTCAATCTAACAAGAACATTAAACACTACGGAATGCAAAACGCATCTTAAGAGAAAGTTAACTCAGAAATATCTCCAATCTCACGCTGAATTAACAACTGGCAACAATAACAACTTATATAGCATAAATAATGTCATAAAAATAGTGTGGTGTAATGAGATTATTACTTTGAAACCGATGTTTTGAACTGATGCCCAAGAAGAAACAATATTTCCATTCTGCTTCATTGCATATCTTTCAAAAAAGTAAAAAAAATCATCCAATTAATTTCCTGTATCAATTTTTTTAAATGCGAAAAGTTTGTTTTGTAAACTGTGAAAATGTCGGAAGTTTGTAACTGATATATTTTTAGATATGAAATTTTAAAACTAATGGGTGTCAAGAAGTCTAAAAATATGAATGATTTTCAAAAATTCTCCCAAAATAATTTTTTAAAAAATTACGCTAAGCTTTCATTTAATTTTTTTTTCCTCCATAGTGTGTTATGGTGCAAACTATAATATTCTGAGATTCTCAGTTTATTTGTTAATATTTGCAAACAATCCTTTCAACTTTAAATTTGAAAAAAATCTAATCCTTTAAAAATCAAAAGTGTGACACTACATCCACAAGCAGTGTATGTACAAAGTTTGAGTTCTATATCTTATCGGGAAGCAGTTTAAAAATCCATGACCATCTTTTAACCATAGTGATAAGCACCAAGTGTGAAATAAATAACAGCTTATAAAATAATAATAATAATAATTAAAAAGCATATATTTTTCAGGAACCATTACGAAAGTTCAGGTACCAGTTGCGAAAGTACAAATTACAAAATTAACAATAGTAGTAAACAACGTTAAAAATGTGTAAACAGTATTAGAAATCTGCCAATTCAGAGACATGATTGTTCACAGAGGCTTAGGTGTAAAAAGAAGGAAGATGGTGGTCTTCTGAATGGGTTCTACAGACGAAACTCTTTCATGTCTCCTTTTTCTCCTCTTGCTAACGGCAGCTGTGCAAAGGAGCATTGCATGTGAATGGGGCTATAATGATATACATTTAGATTATAATGATTTAGATTGTCATTGATATTTATATACTTTTGGTGCAGCCGATTGTAACCAAAAAGGAAGAAGCACAATTTTACTGTCTTAGATTGCCATTAATATTTATATACTTTTGGTGCAACCGACTGCACCAAAAAGGGATGTACACAACTGTGTTATAGCAGTCCCATATACAAAATTTCAGCACTCTGATGCTAGTTGTTTTTGAGTTTTGCGAGATACATACGTACAGACATCATGAAAAAAATTTCTTCTAAATCCATTTTAAATCCGTTTTGAGAAAAAGAGTCCTTTATTCTGTCCATACATACAGGTTTTACACAAAAACATTTAAATGGAATCGAGTGGTCAAATTGCATATTTTTTTTTAAATATGATACTTGAAATTTTTTGCGATGCAATACTTTTTTTACTTTGTACAAGAAAATAAAAAATGATCAAAATTGGTTTTTGAAAATTTCTGTGATTTCACAAAATATTCATGAAAATTAAATTAGTTATTTGATTAATATTATGTACTACCATTATTATCATAGTAATAGTACGATTATATCGTGCTTGCTAATCGTACAGTTCTACAAAGGAAATGTGCTAAACTTTTCATCCTCATCTTAATAGGAGAGCTGATCCTGGTACTGAAAAATGTTAAAAAATTGCAAATTGTTCTATTAATATTTCATATTATATTCTTTCATGTTTAAAGAAGTTATGATTTAAAACAACCTGCTAATATTATTCAGATATTTCCAATTATATTACACAAACGTTTGGTTAAAAAAATACACATTTTACGTTAAAAAAATTAAGCTATTATTTATTGAAAGGATTAATTGATCATTAATTTCCAGAACTGTTTATCTAATTCTTCCTTTCTAGATAAATTTTAGAAAAAATCTTCTTAGCATAATAATTTTCATTTATTCAAAATTTAAGATTATACGTCAATATTCTAAATGCATAGAAATGTTGCAATAAATTTCATGCTAAGTCTTTTCAAAATCTAACTACAGTCAAATGTCTTTAATCTGGACTCGTCGGGACTTTGGCGATTCTGGATTATCGGTCATCAGTTTAAATCTGGTAAGATGGCATGCAGAAATTATAAAATTAAAATATGAAATAAAGAGCAATTACAATCTAAAAGGATATCAAAATTTACAAAAAAAAAAAAAAAGCTTAATATTTATTTGTTTACTTTATTAAACATTTCTTTCAACGTGTGCATGCGTAAAGCATACATTACGCATAGTCGAAATTAGAAAATTGCAACCAGAAAACTATTGATGTGTATTTGTGATATTTATAATGACAAGGAATTTGATTTAAATCATATCAAAGACGGAGTACATCGAGATGAAATACTACATTTAGTAAGGAATTATAAGTTGAATAAAATAAAAGCATCTGCCCTGAAGATAAGGATAGTGCTGACAGATCAACTTCCAGTTCATTGCGCGCCGCGACGACCCCCCCCCGGCAGAGCAGCGTGAAATTGATAAACAGATTTCAGAATGGTTAGAGAAACAAAAGATATCCTTTATCCATTTTTTGCAGCAATTCCACTTTTTGTTTGATGGACATCGGCACATGCTTTCCCTTTGTAGATCCTTTGCCAACTCCAGAATCGGAACTTCTTTTTGACATAATCGAAAGTTCAAGCTTACTTTTATTAAAATTGCTCTAACTGTCTGCAAAAAATAATAAGCCGGATCCAGTTAGAAGATTAAGGAACAACCCAATCTGCAACATTAACTGAAATAGATAATTTTAGCTTAGCTTATACCGTCTGTTATACATTAAACGTGCATGCGTAAACGTATTATGTGCATGCATTAATGCATGTGCGCATGCATAAATGTATTATGCGCTAATGCGTTTACGCATGCGCAGAAAGTTTGTAACTTTGAGGTCTGGATTATAGACCATTCCGGATTATGGACGTCTGCATTAAAGACTTTACTAATTTCTGTAAACATTTACATGATTACTTTAATTAAAAAAATAATTCTAGTACACTTCAACATACATTAGTACCGAATAATCATTAATGAAAGATATTTCTAAAGCTAACATGTGCTTTTACTAATACCTTTTATTTTCTTTTTGCATTTATTACTGTTATTTATGCAATTAAGTGTGTTTGTTACATATTCTTTACTTCGTTCTAACAAGAAAAAAATATCTAACAATTTCCCTCTTGGTTACTAGCTTCAGATAGTAAAATTGTAACCTTCAGCTTTTTGAAATGATGAGGTCTTCTTTGGAAAGTGTGAAGACCCCTTGTAGTGTTCTAAGGGGAAAGGAAAACTTTTGTTTTATGTGGTCATTAAATTCCTTGGCAAGCAACGGTGGAAGCAGGGGTTAATTTCTAAAAGTGCCAGAGCCCTATGGAAGAACGTCAGGAAAGAGGAACAAGAGTTACAAAAATAAATAAAATGACTATTAAAATCATCAATAATTTAAAAACTATATAGCTAATGAGTATGAAATTAATTATTATTACTTAATTATTATTTAATTCATTCATAATCAATTTATTATTAGTTATTAAAATAATTGAAGATTAAGATGATTAAATAAAATGTAAAGACATAAATTAAAATTTAATAACTGATTTTTAATATAATTTTATTACCAAAAATAACATTTTAGAGATCAAATTTTTACTGAAATAATTGTTCAGTTACATAAAAGAAGTGCCGGAGCCTTCTTATTTAGGACTCTGGTGAGCTCCGGCTAGAATGAGAATATGTCCCAGAAAATAAGAAGTACTCTGCTAGGCTCCGGCGCAATTTAAGCTCTCTTTTGATGACATTTAAACTAATATATTTAACATAAATATGTCCTAAGCAGATTTTTAATTTATCAGAAAAGAAATTGTCCAAGGCTGATTATTCGTAGGAAGGAAATGTGTATGGTCGAACGTCAGGCACTACAAAGGATATTTTTGACTCCTATTTTTGTGAATTTATGTGGCGAAGCCAGTATACAGATTCTAGTTCAGATAATTTTTGAAAGATTTTAGATGCTGTTAAGGAATTTTGTTTGACTGAAGAAAGGGAAATTTCTCTAAATAAGGTAAGTGGATATTTCTTTTGTGTAGTGCTAAAATGAATTTCCTTCTTTATGTTATTTCATTGCTTAATTTAAAATGCAGTTTATTGAGATTATATATTTTTGTTGGCTGGTCCTTTGACTTTTTAAGTGAATATAGATCCATGTGTACATGGACAAAGTCAAGGAAGTGCACAATGCCAAGTCTCTGATGCAATTCTCTGATGTTTTTTTAAGTGAAAATAGGTCAATGTGTACATGGATGCCGAGTTTGTGCAATTCTTTGACTTGTTATTTTGGATTTGTGTAGCGGTGATTTTTGATGCAAAATAACAAAATAGCAAGTGAAAGAATATCACAAACTCGATGTACATGTACAGCTAAAAATCGCCATTTATCACTAATTGGCATCCGTAAATATATTTTTACCAAAAAAAGTAAAGCCATCTTCAAGAATGCTGGAAAATTCTGATTCTGAAGGGAAATAAGTTGTAAAACTAACTTACAAAAAAAAAAAAAAAAAAAAAAAAAATCTGAATTCAAGCTCTAGCTGATAAATAAATAAAAGTAAACATTTATAAATTTGATAGCAAAATGTAAAGTTCAACCTATTATTTATACATAATAAATATTCTAATAATTGATGCAATGAAAACAAATTTCTTTAAAATTGCCAGTACTTTGACAGATTTCAAAATTTAAATACCATGCAGAAAATATACTAAGACTTCAAAAGTGCTTTTACTTTTCGAGCAGGATTGGTAAATGGCATCCATTTCCAAGGGCGGACTCGCTTCAGACCAAGTTTAGCTTTGTTTCTTTTATATCCCTGACCATTATCCGTAATAAACATTGGTGGATTATCTCTAAAAAAGCAAAATTTCATGTAACACAGATAAAAAAGATAATATTTAGCTATTTCATAATATTCTTAAAACAATAATGATGAAGGTTTTTTGGTACTTTCTTATCATTATGGCTCTCATTTTGTAAACGGCACCAAGATTATTGAATTTTGGCAATGCAAACCAAAAACATCTTCAAATGGCTAGCAATCCTAGATGGTAGAAGTAAAAACCAATGCTCATTATAATATTTGCTTAGCATAACACAAATCCCCCCCCCCAAAAAAAAAGATTGATCTAAAATGTCAAGTGATGACAATATATTCAATTTAGTTTTGTTACAGTCACCACTTGCTATAACAAACTTTAAGATGAGGGGAATCATTATAACAAGTATCAATATATATATATATATATAGAGAGAGAGAGAGAGAGAGAACAAATAACATCAGAATATGGGTAAGAGTAAGGGTAGCATGCAACAAAGTAACACTTTTTAAATGAACATGAAAAATTGCATGTTTATTTAATGAGTGCAGAAAGTTTGGTTTAGTTTATTTGAATATGGCAAAGTATATGCAAGGATTACCTAACTAAGAGGAAGAATGCCTTCAAAGACTTTCTAAAGGAAACTGGCTTGTGTACATGTTACGTATGGGAAAAAGCATGAAAAATGCTCATCTAAGCCAGCCCATTCACCAGGGTTCAAGCCCCAGACTGAACTATCATCGCTCAGCAACTTTACCGCTTGGCCACTGGTGGGTGAGTACAGAACATATGCCAAGCATTGATGGGTGGCCAAAAAAAAAAAAAAAAAATATTGATGTTGACACAGAATTTAAAGGCATGCAACAACTAAAATGGAGCCCTGAATTACAATATATACAGGATATTGCAGTACATTATATAATTGCCAACATATATCTGCTCCTTGATTATATGGATTACAAATTCCTTACATTTCCCTTTTTATTAAAAAATAACATATGGATTAAAAACCAAAATGAATATAATATGTCATTTCCTTTTATATCCATAGGAACGGGAACACTAAAAAAATGTCTTTTCTCATATATTTCTAAAAAGAAATAAAATTCTCAAGGGAAAGAGAATAGACTCGTATTCACATCACAAGTGGGATAAAACATGAAAATGCCCATGCCATTTGTCAAGATCTAAACCTGGATCAAACTACTATTAGTCAGTCCTTCTATCCATTTTGCTACTATTGACTTTACATCTTTTATTATTACAACTATAATCAAGGATTGAAAGAATACCTATCATAGTAAATGCTATGCCATTTTTTAGTTGCCAAGCATCCACTCAGTATACATTAGTACAAATAAAAGATACTTACTTATTATCTGAATATAATAAGGCATATAATTCTCTATGCATCCCTTCAGGACGTTTAAATGTAGCTTCACTAAGCCTTTTCTTCTTCTGTAAACAGACATAATATGCAATTACTAACATATATTATTTTTCTATCTTTTCTCTTATAAGATAAAATGTGCCAAATAACTTCCTAGAGAAAGAAATATGCGGTAACACTGTTAAAATTAAAATCTTTTTTCACAATTCTTACTACTACTCATATTTTCAAAGAAGGCATTGCCAATTAAGAAAAAATTGATATCTTTTCATTATTTGCACCCTTTGAAAAGTAATCATAAAGTAGCATGCTGTTGTTCTTCAAAATACACAACCTGTGACACTGCCAAAATGTATTTATGTAGCAACCCAGAAAAGCCTGTCATTAGCATTTCCTTTTGTTGCACTGAAGACAGTTATTAGTGTTTGTTTTTGCTACAATGATTTCAATTTTTTCTTTTTCTTTTCTTTTTTTTTTTTTCTTTCTTCTTTTTTTTTTTTTTTTTTTTTTGATAGTGGAGTTTGCTGACTGAAGAAGAGAGTGTTTCATTTCTTCAGAAATATAGCATTTTGCCTAACAGTAGAAAATGCAAAAATTCGCATTCCATGATTTTATACTTTCTAAATGATCAAACTTTAATTATAAAATTTTGTTCTCTGATGCTGAATTTATACAGTTCTCTGTTTTAAGCAGAAATAGATTGCTGTGTGCATGGGAAAACAATAGCATGAACAAATCTAAAGAAGCGCAATTCTCTAATTTTTTTTTTTTTTTTTCAAATGTGTGTATATGGGAAGAATAACAGTGTGAGCAGTGCAAAGTTGTGTGCAATGCCATGTTTCTGCAACTCTAAATTTTTTAAACCACAACAGATCACTGTATACATGAGAAGAACAGGAGGAGGGGAATGTTTTATTAAAGATGTTTTTTACATTTTAAATTTTATTAACTGTTTGCTGTTTTATGCAATTCTTAGTGCATCACCATTTTTTAAAATACCTTATGTCTTTCACATCTTAGTTTTGTGAAAAATTAGCTACTAGCAATTGGTGACCTTTTTAGAAAGGTATGCAGATAATCAGAAAGCAACAAAATTTTTTTAAAGAAGGTCATCCCATTGCATTCTTTGTTTAATGAAATTACTAACTAAATTTCTTTATACAAATTTTATCATATCAAGTGTGTTGATGAAGAAAATATGTTTTCTAGCTGCTTTGTGTATATATCTTTGTAAAAAAATTGTCAGATGTGTATGGTCCTGTAACAGTAAAGATCTTTATTTTTTAATAGAGATAGTTTTAATATACAGGTATTTGCTATATTTTTATTTTTATGACCAAAAAGATCATTAATCGGTATCCATGTACACATTGACCTATTTTCACTTAAAAAAAAATTATTAATATACAAAAGAAGCATTCTTCTTTTTCATAAGCTCCCCAACCTGTTACAAGCCAAGGCTGTCTCTCCAAGTTTCCTTCACCTGATTCGCTTCAGTGCAATAGTCCTATATCGGTTAACTCCAATTAACCTTTTTTTGATTTAAGGTTAATTGTAGTTAGCCTTGACATCCTCTATCAATCTAGAGCAGGGGTTTTCAACCAGTGGTACGCAAGAGAAACATAGGTGGTAAGCAAAGTATTTTTAACTATTAAATTCAAAAATTAAAAACCCTTACATCTTGACTGAGTTTTTTTCTCTAACACTCATAAATTTATGCTATCTGAGCTTTGTTTAAGAGTGGTGGTGGTGGTGGTAGTACTTTGTAGTGATGGTACTAAAGGTTTTCAATTTTTGTTTAGATGGTATGCGCTAGTCAAACGGTTGAGAACCACTGATCTAGGAGGTGGTTTTTCTCATCGTCTTACTCCCTCAATTCTTGAAAAAGTTATCTTTTTGGTTGGAAATGCATCATCATATCTAAACACATGGCCCAGCCCTTTGATATGAGATGCCTTTATGATTCTTAGAATATCAGTTTCGCCATATTTCCTATATTTTCCATATAGTTCATGATTATAGAGAATCCTTCACATGCCATTTTGTTGTACCAGTCCAAAGATCTTTCTTAGGATTTTTCTTTTAAAAGTTGATATCAGGTCTTTATCTGCTCTGTTAAGCATAAAACATTCACTTCCGTAAAGGGCAACAGGTCTTATTAAAGTTTTATATAAATTTAACTTAGTTTTTATGTTGACTAGTTTGGATTTAAGTTGTTTTTTAAGGCCATAGTAATATCTATTAGCCATAAATATTCTATTTTTTATTTCAATTTTTATATCATTGCAACTCATGATCAATGTGCCCAGATATTTAAATTGTTTTACAGTTTCAAAGATATAACTGTTTATCTTCAAGGAAGATATGTCAACAGTTTTATTAGATGCAATCATAAATTTAGTTTTGTCTTCATTAGTGATTAGGCCCATCTTTTTTGCTGCCTTTTCAAGCGAGACGAATGCCTCAACCACAGCTCATTTTGACTACCCACTGATATCAATAACATCGGCAAAAGCCAGCAGTTAAATGGTTCTGTGCAAGAAAAAGAAGCATCCGGAGATTACAAAAGCATTAAGTTTTCACTAGAAATAACGAATTCAATGTATTTAAAACCAGACTATTTTTTTTCCATGAAGGAATGATTTATATCTTAAATTTCAAGCACCAGATAACTACTGAAAAGTTATTTATTTATAAAATATTTAACATTATTAAATAATTTAATATATTGCTTCCAAATGCATTCAAAAACACACACTCTACAAATTATAAAAGATGTATACAATGGTAAAGTATATTTACTTTTCTTCCATCACTACCCAATATACTCTCTTTACTAATTTCTGGAGTCTGTGGACGTTCCACATCTAATATATCAAGAACATCACTCATCTACAAAATATACGGGAAAATAAACCAAAATTTCACATCAGAAAATATAATAAATTTTGATACTTATCTATTATGTGCTTGTCATGCATTTCAGCAGTTTTTTTTCAGTAAATAATTTTTAGTTACAAAAATAGTTTACAGATAGCACACATAAAGGTACTTCAACATTATGCATATGCACACATACAGTACTTTCAGCTGTGCATAAAAAAGGTGCAAAAAAATGTGGCAACTGCCTAATGCAAAAAAGATGAAAATTTCATTTCTTGTAGTGTTGCAAATCAATATTCCATAAAATTCTTAACTTTCAGATTAAAGCAGTCCTAAGATTAACCACATGATTTAAAAACAATATCTTCATAATTTAAAACTTTAAACTTTTGAATGAGATTTCTATTATTAAAAGTAATATATAATACAGTTAACACACACATAATCCATAATACACTGAATGGAATAATTTTTAAAAATAATAGTACCATTATCATAGCAATAAATAAAATATCCTTGCATGTATACAGGTTCATAATGGATTTAATGCACACGGAACCAATGATAGCTTAATAAAATTTATTTTTTGTATACACACATACATACACTTCACATACATGCATAGGTTACAGTAGATTGAAGGGTGTCCCTTCTATTATATTATTGCGCAGTTATTGTTTCATTTATGGTAACCCGAATAGTTGAATGTTATAGAAACCCTATTATGATGTAATTATGACGACCCTATTATGATGTGATTGCGGGAACTTTTGAATTATACGAAAAGATTTGTAAGGGCTTGTGGTGTGTGTTGGTTAGGAAGTACATTGCTCGCTTTGTAGTTTAGACGGTACAATGGCTGAATGTGGTAAGATTAATTTGAAGTTTCTATATGATTCAGAACCAAAGAAGAAAAGAGCATTAATTGAGTGGTGTGTAAATGAAGGTTTACTTAGAAGCCATTATAAGTGTCCTATTTGTAGGAAAGAAATACGCATGGTCGAACATTGGAGGATATTTTCGACTCTTACTTTTGTGAATTTATATGGCGTCGCTGGTATACAGATTCTAGTTCAGATAATTTTAGAAAATTTTTAGATGCTGTTAAGGAATTTTGTTTGACTGAAGAAAGGGAAATTTCTAAATAAGGTTAAGTGGATATTTCTTTTGTGTAGTGCTAAGATGAATTTCCTTCTTTATGTTATTTCATTGCTTAATTTAAAATGTAGTTTATTGAGATTATATATTTTTGTTGGCTGGTCCTTTGACTTTTTAAGTGAATATAGATACATGTGTACATGGACAAAGTCAAGGGAGTGCGCAATGCCAAGTTTTCGCAATTCTCTGATGTTTTTGTAAGTGAAAATAGGTCGATGTGTACATGGATACCAAGTTTGTGCAATTCTTCGACTTGTTATTTTGTCTTTCGCCGCTGCACAAAGCCAAAATATCAAGTCAAAGACTGCACAAACTCGGTATCCATGTACCACCAAAAATCGCCACGGGGCACCCATAAATATATTTTTACCCATGCATACATTTCTTAATCCAGTCCTGGTAACAGAAGAGTGCCCCCTTCAATTTACTACTTTCGCAACATGTCGGGGAAAGTGCAGAATCACCCACTGCTTGGGGCGTTTATAAGAATTGTATACTCAGTATCCATGTAGACATCAACCTAGTTTCACTTAAAAAAAAATCCCAGAATTGCACAAAAATGGCATTGTGCACTCCTTTGACTTTATCCAAGTACACATCAACCTATTTTCACTTAAAAAGTCAAAGAAAATTGACAGAAATCCAATTCTTCTTACTCTTGTAAAAAGTGCCAAACAAATAAGTGGGCGATTCTGCACTTTACCACATCTCTTTCTGCCAGCCCATCTTTAAAAGACTTTATTATGTGCTCATGTATTTCCAAAATTTTTCATTCAAACTGCCTTCTCATTCTTAATCATCAAAACGAAAATTAGCAGGCAAAGAACAAATTACACTGGTAAGTCAATAGAAAGGAAACTCATGAAAAATTCTTAATAAAGAAAAATCGGTTAAAATTCCATTCTCGGGGTGAGCGCCAAGCTTGGCGAGAGTTTTTTATTTGGCACGATTTTAATTTGGTTGTGGTTTCCTGCTGTATGTTTTCTTGTGGCAAACCTAGAGCTTTATTTCGGTAACAGTAAGAGCGCAAATTTAGTGGAGCCAAATTTTTTTAAAATTTAATTTTGAAATACTGTATTTGTTTTTAAAAGTTCTACTGTTTAATATTATTGTATATATATGTTTAATATTACATTTATATAAAAATTGCAGAAGAAGAAGTTGTTGGTGGGACAATATTGGATTTCAGATCACGTGAAGTTTATAGTTTATGAATGTTTTCATTTAATTTTATTTAGTTAAGTATTATTATTATTTTTTTAGTTTTGCTTCTTGCATTTGGCAATCGAAAGATGTGAAATATTTAAAGTTTCGAAAGAAAGTTGTTTAGCATGTTGAATTCCATGACGATAGCAACTTGAATATTTTAGTTAGTTTATGATGCTGAATATGCATAATTTGCTATTCTGTTTATGTTTAAAACTGACTTCGCAGTGCTCTGATCTGATAAGTGTATACATTTATTTACAAGAATTGTTCATTCTACTATTTTATGATGAATTACGGGTAGAGTAGACTTTAAGGTACCCCTTGTATTATGGCGAAGTTGTTGTCTGATTTATCGCCAAGTTGTTTCATTTATGGTAACCTGAGTAGTTGAATGTTATGGAAACCCTATTGTGACGTAATCAGGTGCATGATTCTGCGAAATTTTGAATCATGGTATGTTTTGTAAGCATTTTTTTGGTTTGTGTTAAAACCGTTTAGATGGATTTGAATGGGTTTGTAGGAAGAAAGGTTCAGATGGTCATTATGTGAAGCGTTCGATCAGAAAGAGTACCTGATTTGAAAAAAGTCATTTGAGTATGATTGATATTTGATTTTACGTGGCTCTGGGTGTACGAAGCGAATTCGAAAATCATGGTAAGTGAATATTTGCTTTTGGTAGTGCATAAATGTATATAACATGTTTTTCCTTTTTTATGTTATTTTATTGGTTTAAAATATATTTTATTCAGATTATGTATTTTTTGTTTGCCTACATTGTAGACTTTGGTGCTCCTTTGACTTTTCAGTGAAAATATATCAATGTGTACATGGACAAAGTAAAGGGAGTGCGTAATGCCAGTTTGTGCAATTCTGGGATTTTTTTAAAATTGAAAATAGATTGACGTGTACATGGATAAAGTCAAAGGAGTGCGCAATGCTATTTTTGTGCAATTCAGGGTTTTTTTTTAAAGTGAAAATAAGTCAATGTGTACATGGATACGGAGTTTGTGCAATTGTTTGTCTTGTTATTTTGGCTTTGTGTAGCGAAGATTTTTGGGTTGATCTTTACAATATGGTAACTGGTAGTTTGGCGACATTTTGGAGGCGATAAAGGTTACTACCTGGCACTTTGGTAATAATGTGAGCAGTACTCAGTTCCGATTACGCATTATTTTGTGTGAAGGAAATGAGATATCATGGGATATGTCATGTGATATTAATGGACGAATTACGGTTCTTTAATCGGAAAAGGGGGGAAATCGGGAAAAAATCTGGAAATTTTGTATCTGGCTTTTCTGTGTTGTGTGAAACAGTGTTCGTGAATTTTGGATCCCATGGCCATAACTAAAGTGAATTCGAAATGGGTATTTATGTATGTATTAGTTTAATGTATGTGCTCATTTATATTTTAAGTAGTGTTTTTGAATTTAATTATATTTAATTAAATGATAGTTATTTTGTGAATTTTATGTTTGTAGGAATTTGGTATACGTTTTAGTTGAAGTAAACGTGCATGGAAATAATTTAAATATCTGACAATAAGTATTTGTAATGGTGCGGTATGAATTCGTTGGTGACGTGCATAATGTAATAGATGATTTAGAGGTAAAAGTTTTTGGATATTTTATTATTTTATATGTGGAAAGTTCATTACTTTTTCGCGATCAGGTAATTTCATATATGTTCTTTTTTACCGGGTTTAAAGATTGAGAAAATTGTCATGTATTTCTAATTTATGAGAAAAAAGCAGTGTACATGGATATAGTGAAGGGTGTGCGTAATGCCATTTTTGTGCAATTCCGGGATGTTTTTTTAAGTAAAAATAAGTCGGGCGTGTCATGTTTATGTGTATGTGTTATTTGAAAAACGCGTAAAGGAGTATGTATTGTGCACTTTTTCCCAATTTTGCAGTGAATATTTGTCATGATTAAGCAGTTTGTTAGATAAATTTCTAGCATAAGTGTAATTCGGCTATAGGTTGTTTGTGGAGAAGTGTTTAGTAGATAAAAAGAAAAGAAAATGTCTTAACTTCGTGAAGACAAAATGGCGGCGGGAAAAAAAAAAAAGAGGGTGCTGTAGGAGTTGGTCGCCAAATTTTCGCCAAAAAAATGCCAAGTTAACATAATGTAAAGATCAACCGATTTTTGCACCAAAATCACCACTTCGCAAGCCAAAATAACAAGTCAAAGCATTGCACAAAATCTGTATCCATTTACCGCCAAAAATCGCCAAGGGGTACCCTAAACTATACTTTTACCTGAATTACATTATATAGGGCTATGCTTTTACTTGCAAAGCTGTTGGACTTTGTTTTACTCATCTAGTATTTTATCATCTCATTTTAGGATTATATTTACATAAAATAACGGCGTTTCACTACTGCAAAACTTAAAAGTTACTATTCTGTTGGCGTTTAAAAATCACATTTTAGTGCTTTCATTGCCGCCTAAAAAATTCACCAAATTTTGAAGGCCAAAATAGTTTGGCGCTAACTTACCCCACTTATGGAATTTTAGCCGAAAAATCACAAAATTATACACTGTCCGACTTTCATTATGAAACTAGTTTTCATATTTTATAGGTTTAAAATTGAAATGTCTAGTATATGAGGATATGCATTTTGTAAAAAATTAGTAGGGGCTAACTTCCACTTTTGTTTATGATAAATCAATATGTAGTTGAACATTAATTTATAAAGTCTATTTTATACTTTACTAAAATTACTTCCTATGAGGAAAATTCCTTTATAAAACATAATAATGTAGCTGTCGAACTTTTACTTAGAGCCACTTTACATACTGCAGGGGAACTAAGCATTCACGGTGAATAAATAGTCTTTTCACTTAGACAAACAAAATAAATGTTAATCCATTAGTTTCCGATTAGTCCTTACAAAAAATAAAAATAAAATTATGAAACATAACTATTCCTAAACAAAGCAACCGGTTTAATAAAAAATTATTAAAACTGTGTATACAACGAAGTTCTTCAGAGCTATGGAAAATTAATAAAAGAAACAAACTCAGTAATTAAGCAGTATATTTAGAAAATGTACGTTCATAAAACAACTTACATTACATACACCTGCGAGACGATATTTGTTTATTAATCTGAGAAAGCATAGGAACAAACTGGATGGGATTTAAAATAATGTACACATTGCATTCTTTTCACTTCATACTTTGTAAATTATTTTCAACAACAATTTTCTTTGATTTTGAAATTAGAAATAATTCTATAAATTTTTATAACAATATACTAATGGAATAAGTAATTTAATGCTGACGCAATTTCGATCAGATTTCAAAAGCCTTTTTTTTTTTTTAGAGTTCCAGTTATAATTGATTTATTTTTTACTGTAACCCTAATCGCGGTTTACATGTTTAGGCGCGAAAGTATGAGTATTTCAACTGTAAATTTGTTATTCGTTTATTTTACTGCAAGCTGTAACTTCTAAAAAGCAATATTATGTTTGAATTCTCATTTTTATTTATTTTTTAATATCGTATGTACATTTTTTTTCTCACATCTAAGGTCTAGTATACGGTGCACACGTGATTTGGCGATATTATGATGATCAGTAAACGTGGTGTGTATCATGAGCAGTAAATGAGTCATTTTGGTATTGGCAACAATTTTCAAAATCATACCAAGGCCGTACCGTATATTAGGATTTTACCAAGGTATGTATTGTATTAATATTAAGTATTTACCAAGGTATGTATTGTCGTTACAGCATTCCAAAGGAGGGGGTGGCCAGATGACAGATGATAAGGTCAAGGTCGTGAAAAGAAGTTTAAGGCTGTGTTCAGACGGCGGCGTAAAGGGCATAGAGGCATAGTCATAAGGGCATAAAATATGGGAGTTCTGTTCACACCTGCGAGAACGGGGTGTAAGCCGTGGCCAACGAGAGAAGCTAAATTTCTGTATGCCTGGATGTGTCTACAACTTTCTCGCGCTGTTCTCCTGCTCGATTGATTTCCTGCGTTTGCTCTGCTTGTTTTGTGACAGCGAAATCTTCTTCAGAATGCCGCTTCGTTTTAGCTTCGCTCTGATTGTTCAACGTTTATTCCAAACTCGCTGTAAAGTTGAAAACTTTGAACCCTATGCCACGAGCCCTAAACCAGATTTTGTGACATAGCACAGACTGGTTGCCTTGGCAACGGAGCTCGGCTTTACTCACTTATGCCCTTTACTTCCCCGTCTGAACGCAGCTTAAGGGGACAAAAACAGAGATTTTGACACGCCTGTATTTGTCAGGTCAATGCGCCCGATGGAGTGTTAAGACCCTTTCCTTTTCTCATTCTGTGCAGGAAGAAGAATATGATGCTTAAAAGAAAAGCAAGTGTGTTATAAATCAGTTTTTACCCTGATTACCCGAGATTCATTTTGTCAATAAGTATCATTATCAGTGATAATACTGAATCATCATCCTGCAGATTGTTCTGCTTTTAAACACCTACATTTTCACTCATTCACAGTGATTCACACTTCCCTTCCCTTGACTGATTGTATGTTCCTGTCTGTGTGGGGAAGAATCAAACATTTATTTTTAGTTTTCTAAATCTTATGTAGCTTTTTATGTAAGAAGTGAAACCCAAAGATCAGTGCTTGCTTGGAGAGAATGTTGCAACCACAGGGTATACAGTTGCACACGCTTGTTTTCTTTTATTGGCATAAAAGGGAAGAAGAATTAAATTGCACTCTTCTAGCATTGTGAATTATGCTGTTCTTCAACTGTCAGATTTAATCCAGCTTAAGATTTTGGGTTGATCTTTACTGTACGGCACCCCTTGGTTTCTGTTTGAAAAAATCGCCAAGTGGTATTGGTTGTTCGTGAAATCCATAAGTCCACTGCATGAAATAAGTGTTTTGGTAACCCTAATGTTGATAATGTTGGCAAAATTAACCTTGGGGAAAATTGTGTTTAGTTTTTGTCATTAAAAATGGGTTCTTTCTGTGAATATCGTCAAGCATGTTGTGATAAATTTAGATTTTGGCTATCTTTTGTTATAGTAACCCTTTTGTAAGGAACCTGGTTTGGTTTTCAGTTGGTGTGTTTGCTTGCATGTGCGTGGTATGGTTTTGGATTTTGAACTTGCTATTATTTTGCTGTGGGTACCATCATCTGAGGTGGCTAAGAAGATGAATGTTGATTAACAGCGGATGAGCCGACGTAATCAAAAATTTAATTTAATTACTTATATGGAGGAGCTGGTAGTGGGAAGTGTAACTAGCATGCAAAAAAAGGTATGTTAAAAAATTGACGTTTCATTGATTTATTTGTCTCTGTTTAAAAGATTTGTTGTTTAATGTTTTTATTTTTGGTTATTTATACTCTCTGTTTGTGTATTTTTGGTTATTTGTTCATCTCTGTGTGTTAAGACAGTGGAAAAAATTTTCTGGTTAACATGATAGTTTTAACTGTGTTTTAGCTTCCTGATTTTGTTTGTGAAAATAGATCTATGTGTACATGGACAAAGTTAAGGCAGTGTGCAGTGCCTAGTTTGTGCAATCCTCTGATGTTTTTTTAAGTGAAAATAGGTCGATGTGTACATGGACACAGTTTGTGTAAGTCTTTGGTTTCTTGTTTTGGTTTTGTGTGGCGGGCAGAAGGATCAGCACCATCTTAAAATTGGTGCCAATGTTCCTGGTGCCGATCATGGTGTAAAAAAAACAGATGATTTGCCAAGGGGTACCGTATAGTAAATTTTAACCGTATTTTGTTTAGTCCATTTTTATTTCTATTATCAAAATAAAATTCTAGTAAAAGATAACATCTCCATTTTATTCCATGCTCAGAATTGTACATCTGTCAATCAGCCAATGAATATTGGAATTTTGCATGCACTGAAATGCAAATATAAAATAGATTTTTTTTAAAAATCCATTCAGTAATGAGAGATCTAAGAGTTATGTTGAAGAGATAACTTAAGTGAACTTTATCTTAAGTGAAAAGATTAATAAAACAAAATAAATGTTAACATTGAATATATATATGTATATATATATACAGTATATCTTGTAAAATTTTGGTTTTCTTTACTACATTTAAACAGATGATCTAAAATCCAGGACGCGTATTCTATGATCACTGGATCTGT